CAACATGAACATAAACATCAATAACGTTTAGATATAAACTAAAAGTTGTTCTAGCAAAAGTAAAGAAATATCAGTGCTAACTCTTTGATTCTGAGAGGGTATTGCTGCATCAGAGGAACCGGGAAAGGGGGGGGGGGGGGGGGGAGATTTGTACTTTATCAAATTTAGCGCATAAAAATACTGCTATGAAATATACACATGTCATGCATAACATAAATATAAATGATTGATGGTTATTATTATTATTAGTAGACTACTACAACATATAATTATACTGTTATTTAATAATTAGTAAACAAGCACAATCAGTATGAAATAGATATGTGCAATAATGTTTTCACCCAGAGTAGTTTTCTTAACAGTACTTATAGCACTACTAAATATGTATCCTCAAGGTACAAACAGCACAAACAAATTTGTCCAGTTTCATCTTGTTGGATGAAATCAATTCCTTATCATTGCGAATTATTTGGTAACAAATATGCATAAAAAGTGGATGAACAACCAGAAGTTTCCGCAAGAGTTTACAGCCAGTGTTCGCGAAGCAAAGCAAAAGCCATTTTCCAAAAATTAACACAGACCGTACAACTGCAAATATGCATAAGAAGTGGATAAGCAACCAGAAGTTTCCACAAGATTTTACAGCCAGTGTTCGCTAAGCAAAGCAAAAGCCAGTTGACAAAAATTAACACAGACCGTACAACTGCAAATATGCATAAGAAGTGGATGAACAACCAGAAGTTTCCGCAAGAGTTTACAGCCAGTGTTCGCGAAGCATAAGTCAAATGGTTAAGGATTAATATTATTAGTGTACTGCTACAGCATATAATTATACTGTTAGTCAACAATTAGTAAAGAGGCAAAGAGTGACTTGCTGTGAGAGTTTAGTTAGTAAATTAAATATTATTTTCATCCACTTACCTAAAGCGCTGAAATATCTTGACACAATTTATCCACAGTGTGGTTGCACCATTAATGCACAGTCAATATGAAAGCAATAGTTTTCTTCAAACACAAGATAGTTTGCACTTGACAACTGTCGATATTCTCCAGATATGGCTTCTAAATTACCTGTTTGTATTTTCCCTAAAAGTAAGATTTCTACATTTAAAGTAGAAAAGTAATAAACAGCCAGTTCCCAAAAATCCGAACTACTGACTAGAAACAGTGACACACACATCACAACACGACTGTCTCTGTGAATTAAAATTAAAATTGCTGTAATCTAACAACAAAGTATGAAAATCTTGAATATCCACTTTATAATATTCGCTTGTCGATTTGTAATACGAATACAATCAGAACACAGAAGTTTGTAAGCATATTATATTGTCATACAATGCAACATGGAAACGCTTCAAATAACCTATTTCGAGGGGACTCAGCCAAAATGTATCATGATTCAGTTGTTAGGCATTATTAGAGAAGGCAGTGTATTATGCAAATATGTCACATAATGATGGCGGCCATCTTAAATTTGTTTGGCTATTTAAAGAAATTTTAGGAGATGTTCTAAAACCATCTTCTTTTTCCAGTTCTTAGTGAATTTTTTCAATATAAGTGCGATAAATTGTTGGGGACATGGTTGATGATGAATAAAATCAGCTAAATAGGAGATAAAGTTAAACGACTGACCAAATATTTCAATATGAAAAGCAAATAAAAATGCGGGGAAAAAATAAAAATTCAAGCATATTGCTCTTTTAAAACCAAAATCAAGTTGCATGCACCTTGATGTGTTTAATTTATTGGTTTGTCGTGAGTCCGCTCAACAGTTTAGTTTTAACTTTTGGGTTTGGTTCTTTTGCATTTGATATTCTAAGCCCTAAAAAGGGCCTGTGTCTACTGTACCGTGTTTAGTATACAGACTTTACTCACATTGCTGTACATAAACACTTTCTCTGTGTCTGATTACAGAGCTCGTATTCCAATCTTGGGTCCAATCAAACATCAGAGGTTACAAAAATGTTATGGGAAATTCACAATCGGCACAGCACATTTTGATCAGACAAGGTTTTGGTCTGTTATACCTGGTTCTAGTCTTTTTTAACATCTTTTGTAACATCACTGTCACTCTCTTTCTCTCTCTCTCTCTCTCTGTCTCTCTCTGTCTCTCTCTGTCTGTCTCTATCTCTCTCTCTCTCTATCTTTCTCACTCACTTTCTCTTACTCACTCTCACTTAGCCACAAAAGCGCCGAATGTAAGATGGGCTTTCCATCTGTTTACATTTTGTGTTTTCACATTCCCCAGATGTGATGCCAGGAAAAGCTGGTACAAAGATCATTGTTTCAGTGAAATCACCCTCCAGTTCATCGGCAGTATCGTCAAACTCTTCCATGGAAGACAGTGCTGGAGAAAGTACACATCCTCAAAAAGAGCCTGTTACCATCGGCGAACCACATCAGTTCCTTTGTCGTTATTTAACAACTTCTAAGACAGATTTACTCACCTTGGTTCAAAATGGCTACAAGCTCAGGTAAAAATGTTTTTGACTTTTAAAACTCAGAAGTTATTCATCTCAATATGTAACTAGCAGTTTCTCACACTTTGAATCTTTATATGGTCAAATTACTTTCACGTCTTTTGTTGTTCTTCTTCTTCTCAGTGAGTGCTAGCCTGATGTTTACCCAGTGAGTGGCAGTCTGTTGTCCACATCACCCAGTGAGTGCTAGCCTGATGTTGTCCACATCACCCAGTGAGTGCACAAAATGAGCATGTGGCCACATCACCCAGTGAGTGTTGATGTTGTCCACATCACCCAGTGATGTTGATCCCATCACCCAGTGAGTGCTAGCCTGATGTTGTTCACATCACCCAATGAGTGCCAGCGTGATGTTGTTCACATCACCCAGTGAGTGCCAGCATGATGTTGTTCACATCACCCAGTGAGTGCCAGCATGATGTTGTTCACATCACCCAGTTGTCCACATCACCCAGTGAGTGCCAACTGAGCCACATCACCCAGTGAGTGATGATGTTGTCCACATCACCCAGTGAGTGCCAGCATGATGTTGTTCACATCACCCAGTGAGTGCCAGCATGATGTTGTTCACATCACCCAGTGAGTGCCAGCCTGATGTTGTTCACATCACCCAGTGAGTGCCAGCTTGATGTTGTCCACATCACCCAGTGAGTGCCAACTTGATGTTGTCCACATCACCCAGTGAGTGCCAACTTGATGATGTTGTCCACATCACCCAGTGAGTGCCAACTGATGTTGTCCACATGTGAGTGTCACCCAGTGAGTGCCAACTGATGTTGTCCACATCACCCAGTGAGTGCCAACACCCAGTGAGTGCTATGATGTTGTCCACATCACCCAGTGAGTGCCAACTGATGTTGTCCACATCACCCAGTGAGTGCCAGATGTTGTCCACATCACCCCAGTGAGTGCCAGCTTGATGTTGTCCACATCACCCAGTGAGTGCACCCAGTGAGTGTGAGTGCCAGCTTGATGTTGTCCACATCACCCAGTGAGTGTTGATGTTGTCCACATCACCCAGTGAGTGCTAGCATGATGTTGTCCACATCACCCAGTGAGTGCTAGCATGATGTTGTCCACATCACCCAGTGAGTGCTGATGCATGATGTTGTCCACATCACCCAGTGAGTGCTAGCATGATGTTGTCCACATCACCCAGTGAGTGCTAGCATGATGTTGTCCACATCACCCAGTGAGTGCTTGTGATGTTGTCCACATCACCCAGTGAGTGCCAACTTGATGTTGTCCACATCACCCAGTGAGTGCCAACTTGATGTTGTCCACATCACCCAGTGAGTGCCAACTTGATGTTGTCCACATCACCCAGTGATGTTGTCCACATGCCAAGCTTGATGTTGTCCACATCACCCAGTGAGTGCCATGTTGTCCACCAGTGATGTTGTCCACATCACCCAGTGAGTGCACAACTTGATGTTGTCCACATCACCCAGTGAGTGGCAGCTTGATGTTGTCCACATCACCCAGTGAGTGCCAGCTTGATGTCCACATCACCCAGTTGTGATGTTGTCACATCACCCAGTGAGTGCTAGCAGATGTGTCCACATGTGAGTGTCCACATGTTGTCCACATCACCCAGTGAGTGCCAACTTGATGTTGTCCACATCACCCAGTGAGTGCTAGCATGATGTTGTCCACATCACCCAGTGAGTGCTAGCACTTGATGTTGTCCACATCACCCAGTGAGTGCCACATGATGTTGTCCACATCACCAGTGAGTGCTAGCATGATGTTGTCCAACATGTTGTCCACATCACCCAGTGAGTGCCAACTTGATGTTGTCCACATCACCCAGTGAGTGGCAGTATGATGTTGTCCACATCACCCAGTGAGTGCTAGCCTGATGTTGTCCACATCACCCAGTGAGTGGCAGTATGATGTTGTCCATCACCCAGTGAGTGCCAACTGAGTGATGTTGTCCACATCACCCAGTGAGTGCCAACACCCAGTGATGTTGTCCACATCACCCAGTGAGTGCCAACTTGATGTGTTGTCCACATCACCCAGTGAGTGCCAACTTGATGTTGTCCACATCAGTGAGTGCCCAGTGAGTGATGTTGTCCACACTGAGTGCCAACTTTGTTGTCCACATCACCCAGTGAGTGGCAGTATGATGTTGTCCACATCACCCAGTGAGTGCTAGCCTGATGTTGTCCACATCACCCAGTGAGTGCCAGATGTTGTCCACATCAGTGCTAGCCTGATGTTGTCCACATCACCCAGTGAGTGCCAACCTGATGTTGTCCACATCACCCAGTGAGTGGCAGTATGATGTTGTCCACATCACCCAGTGAGTGCTAGCCTGATGTTGTCCACATCACCCAGTGAGTGCTAGTGATGTTGTCCACATCACCCAGTGAGTGCTAGCCTTATGTGTTGTCCACATCACCCAGTGAGTGCTAGCCTGATGTTGTCCACATCACCCAGTGAGTGCCAACTTGATGTTGTCCACATCACCCAGTGAGTGCCAACTTGATGTTGTCCACATCACCCAGTGAGTGCCATGTTGTCCACATTGATGTTGATGTTGTCACATCACCCAGTGAGTGCCAACTTGATGTTGTCCACATCACCCAGTGAGTGGCAGTATGATGTTGTCCACATCACCCAGTGAGTGCTAGCCTGATGATGTTGTCCACATCACCCAGTGAGTGGCAGTATGATGTTGTCCACATCACCCAGTGAGTGCTAGCCTGATGTTGTCCACATCACCCAGTGAGTGCTAGCCTTATGTTGTCCACATCACCCAGTGAGTGCTAGCCTAATGTTGTCCACATCACCCAGTGAGTGCCAACTTGATGTTGTCCACATCACCCAGTGAGTGCCAACTTGATGTTGTCCACATCACCCAGTGAGTGCCAACTTGATGTTGTCCACATCACCCAGTGAGTGCCAACTTGATGTTGTCCAAATAGCCCAGTGAGTGGCAGCATGATGTTGTCCACATCACCCAGTGAGTGGCAGTGTGATGTTGTCCACATCACCCAGTGAGTGGCAGTGTGATGTTGTCCACATCACCCAGTGAGTGCTAGCATGATGTTGTCCACATCACCCAGTGAGTGCTAGCATGATGTTGTCCACATCACCCAGTGAGTGCTAGCATGATGTTGTCCACATCACCCAGTGAGTGCTAGCATGATGTTGTCCACATCACCTAGTGAGTGCCAACTTGATGTTGTTCACATCACCCAGTGAGTGCCAACTTGATGTTGTCCACATCACCCAGTGAGTGCCAACTTGATGTTGTCCACATCACCCAGTGAGTGCCAACTTGATGTTGTCCGCATCATCCAGTGAGTACCAACTTGATGTTGTCCAAATCACCCAGTGAGTGGCAACTTGATGTTGTCCACATCACCCAGTGAGTGTCAACTTGATGTTGTCCACATCACCCAGTGAGTGGCAGTATGATGTTGTCCACATCACCCAGTGAGTGCTAGCCTGATGTTGTCCACATCACCCAGTGAGTGGCAGTATGATGTTTTCCACATCACCCAGTGAGTGCTAGCCTTATGTTGTCCACATCACCCAGTGAGTGCTAGCCTAATGTTGTCCACATCACCCAGTGAGTGCCAACTTGATGTTGTCCACATCACCCAGTGAGTGCCAACTTGATGTTGTCCACATCACCCAGTGAGTGCCAACTTGATGTTGTCCACATCACCCAGTGAGTGCCAACTTGATGTTGTCCACATCACCCAGTGAGTGGCAGTATGATGTTGTCCACATCACCCAGTGAGTGCTAGCCTGATGTTGTCCACATCACCCAGTGAGTGGCAGTATGATGTTGTCCACATCACCCAGTGAGTGCTAGCCTGATGTTGTCCACATCACCCAGTGAGTGCTAGCCTTATGTTGTCCACATCACCCAGTGAGTGCTAGCCTAATGTTGTCCACATCACCCAGTGAGTGCCAACTTGATGTTGTCCACATCACCCAGTGAGTGCCAACTTGATGTTGTCCACATCACCCAGTGAGTGCCAACTTGATGTTGTCCACATCACCCAGTGAGTGCCAACTTGATGTTGTCCAAATAGCCCAGTGAGTGGCAGCATGATGTTGTCCACATCACCCAGTGAGTGGCAGTGTGATGTTGTCCACATCACCCAGTGAGTGGCAGTGTGATGTTGTCCACATCACCCAGTGAGTGCTAGCATGATGTTGTCCACATCACCCAGTGAGTGCTAGCATGATGTTGTCCACATCACCCAGTGAGTGCTAGCATGATGTTGTCCACATCACCCAGTGAGTGCTAGCATGATGTTGTCCACATCACCTAGTGAGTGCCAACTTGATGTTGTTCACATCACCCAGTGAGTGCCAACTTGATGTTGTCCACATCACCCAGTGAGTGCCAACTTGATGTTGTCCACATCACCCAGTGAGTGCCAACTTGATGTTGTCCGCATCATCCAGTGAGTACCAACTTGATGTTGTCCAAATCACCCAGTGAGTGGCAACTTGATGTTGTCCACATCACCCAGTGAGTGTCAACTTGATGTTGTCCAAATAGCCCAGTGAGTGGCAGCATGATGTTGTCCACATCACCCAGTGAGTGGCAGTGTGATGTTGTCCACATCACCCAGTGAGTGGCAGTGTGATGTTGTCCACATCACCCAGTGAGTGCTAGCATGATGTTGTCCACATCACCCAGTGAGTGCTAGCATGATGTTGTCCACATCACCCAGTGAGTGCTAGCATGATGTTGTCCACATCACCCAGTGAGTGCTAGCATGATGTTGTCCACATCACCCAGTGAGTGCCAACTTGATGTTGTTCACATCACCCAGTGAGTGCCAACTTGATGTTGTCCACATCACCCAGTGAGTGCCAACTTGATGTTGTCCACATCACCCAGTGAGTGCCAACTTGATGTTGTCCACATCACCCAGTGAGTGCCAACTTGATGTTGTCCAAATCACCCAGTGAGTGGCAACTTGATGTTGTCCACATCACCCAGTGAGTGCTAACTTGATGTTGTCCACATCACCCAGTGAGTGCCAACTTGATGTTGTCCACATCACCCAGTGAGTGCCAACTTGACGTTGTCCACATCACCCAGTGAGTGCCAACTTGATGTTGTCCACATCACCCAGTGAGTGCCAACTTGATGTTGTCCACATCACCCAGTGAGTGCTAGTCTGATGTTGTCCACATCACCCAGTGAGTGCCAACTTGATGTTGTCTACATCACCCAGTGAGTGGCAGTGTGATGTTGTTAACATCACCCAGTGAGTGCTAGCCTGATATTGTCCTCATCACCCAGTGAGTACCAACTTGATGTTGTCCACATCACCCAGTGAGTGGCAGTGTGATGTTGTCCACATCACCCAGTGAGTGCCAACTTGATGTTGTCCACATCACCCAGTGACTGTATAGCTGTTCTTTGGTAATTTTATTTTGCTGATTCCAAAAAATATAATTAGATTGTACTGGTCAAATACTACAGCAGTATAACATTAACAGCAGTGTCAGAGACAATAGACATGGTTAATAGACAAGCAAACTGTATTTGGGAAGGAGAGATGCTGAAAAAGGGTACTGGTCATTTATGTCATTATCTCTGCAGTGTCAGAAACAAAAGATATGGTTAATAGACAAGCAAGAGTCTCTACCTGACAGCTTCCATGATCTAGTATACATGAAAGTCTCTACCTGACAGCTCCCATGATCTAGTATACATGAAAGTCTCTACCTGACAGCTCCCATGATCTAGTATATATGAAAGCTTCTACCTGACAGCTCCCATGATCTAGTATATATGAAAGTATCTGTCTGACAGCTCCAATGATCTAGTATATATGAAAGCCTCTACCTGACAGCTCCCATGATCTAGTATATATGAAAGCCTCTACCTGACAGCTCCCATGATCTAGTATATATGAAAGTCTCTACCTGACAGCTCCCATGATCTAGTATATATGAAAGTATCTACCTGACAGCTCCCATGATCTAGTATATATGAAAGTCTCTACCTGACAGCTCCCATGATCTAGTATACATGAAAGTCTCTAGCTGACAGCTCTCATGATCTAGTATATATGAAGGTCTCTACCTGACAGCTCTGGTGCAGAATCTGCCATGAGATCATTTCTACCTGTTCAGTAATTGCATGTTTTGGCTTCTGTATAATTTCAGCACTGTTCAAGCTAGAACAGCTTTTGCCATGTATTTGGTTCGAGTTCAAGAGAGACTGCTTTCAGACTGGAGTGCTTCTATCCTACACCGAGGCAAAGATGCTGCCAATGATCAGATCGTAAGTGTCTAGTTTCAAGAATGTGCCTGAAACAACAAAGTTTCATCATCATTATTTCATGTCATGCTGGTAGGCATTGGTAAGCAGTTATTGTTCTCCATCTCACAAGATCATTAGAAGAGACTAAGACTGTACAGTGGTAACTTGGAAAACATTCACTGTGGTATTCATCCTGTTTAGAAATGAAAACTTTTGCTTGGTATATGACCTTTGTTTGGAATACGAACTGGTAGAATTCAAAATAATTATTCCTGACACTGTTTGCTATCTTTATTTAGCTCTTTCAGGACAAAGCCATGGAAAGATGTCAATGACTTTGTAGAGAAGTGTCTCCATGATAAAACCCAAACAAGCTGTTTTAGCCTTGTCCCGAATGACCAGACAATGTTATATTTCTGAAACATCTGAATGAGAAGGCAGAAGTAAAGTTTTTTGGGAAGATATTTAGTAAAAGTCAAACCTGATGAACCTCAACCAGGTCCAAGTAGTGAAAAGAGACCAAAAAGACAAAATTAGACAGTATATATATTATATTTTACAACACCATCAATGTATACTATGCCAAAAACAATAGAATTTTTCCATGGAAACAGATTAATCATTCTCTAAAATTCTTCCATGGAAACAGATAAATCATTCTCTAGAATATTTCCTTAGAAACAGATTAATTATTCTCTAGAATGTTTCCTTAGAAACAGATTAAGCATTCTCTATAATGTTTCCTTAGAAACAGATAAATCATTCTCTAGAATATTTCCTTAGAAACAGAATAATCATTCTCTAGAATATTTCCTTAGAAACAGATTAATCATTCTCTACAATGTTTCCTTAGAAACAGATAAATCATTCTCTAGAATATTTCCTTAGAAACAGATTAAGCATTCTCTATAATGTTTCCTTAGAAACAGATTAAGCATTCTCTATAATGTTTCCTTAGAAACAGATAAATCATTCTCTAGAATATTTCCTTAGAAACAGATTAATCATTCTCTAGAATATTTCCTTAGAAACAGATTAAGCATTCTCTATAATGTTTCCTTAGAAACAGATAAATCATTCTCTAGACTGTTTCCTTAGAAACAGATTAATCATTCTCTAGAATATTTCCTTAGAAACAGATTAATCATTCTCTAGAATATTTCCTTAGAAACAGATTAAGCATTCTCTATAATGTTTCCTTAGAAACAGATAAATCATTCTCTAGACTGTTTCCTTAGAAACAGATTAAGCATTCTCTAGAATATTTCCTTAGAAACAGATTAAGCATTCTCTAAAATTTTTCCTTGGAAACAGTTTAATCATTCTCCCTTCATTTTTTGAGGGAAAAATCGTTTGGTATACCTATTGTTTAGTGTACATCCAAAGATGAGGAACGGATTAATAATGTATACAAAGCTACGACTGTATCAGTTGTCTTGTTAAGTTATGTTGTGTGGCTAATCCATCCAACCCTCTTTTCTTATCAAGTTTGCCATTCGAGAAGGGGGGAGGGGGGTCATTCAGTAACGTAGATCAGAGAGGTAATAAAAGTGTATCATACATGGGTTAGTTAGTTTCAAATGAGTTAATGTATAAAATCATCCACTTCAGTTAGGTCTTAAGTCTGTTCGCATTGGTTTAATCAAAGAAATGAAGGTTAAAGTGAATGTTTATTTCATCGTTTAAAACAATGGCTCATCAGACTCTATAATGAAAATTGTTTACATAAATGCAGGAGTTAGTGTTGCGGTTCCTGAAATGTGCAGCAACAGATTTGCCACAAACAGTTCACAGTGTTGTTCCAAACAAGAAACTTCCAATACAAGATCGGAAAAAAGTCCTTGCAGAACAACTAGGCATTTTTATTGATTTGTACAACAAGGTGAGTGACAGAGTGTGAATTTATTGTTAGTGGATTTTTTTTTATGGCTGTGCTCACTTTAATTAAGTTGAGTGGAAACCTCTGGAAAAAGGCAGCGGTTGTGGTTAATTCCATCTGGAAAAAAGCAGCGGTTGTGGTAATTCCATCAGGAAAAGAGCAGCGGTTGTGGTAATTCCATCTGGAAAAGGGCAGCAGTTGTGGTAATTCCATCAGGAAAAGAGCAGCGGTTGTGGTAATTCCATCTGGAAAATGGCAGCGGTTGTGGTAATTCCAACTGGAAAAGAGCAACGGTTGTGGTAATTCCATCTGGAAAAGGGCAGAGGTTGTGGTAATTCCATCTGGAAAAGAGCAGCGGTTGTGGTAATTCCATCTGGAAAAGGGCAGCGGTTGTGGTAATTCCATCTGGAAAAGAGCAACGGTTGTGGTAATTCCATCTGGAAAAGGGCAGCGGTTGTGGTAATTCTATCTGGAAAAGGGCAGCGGTTGTGGTAATTCTATCTGGAAAAGGGCAGCGGTTGTGGTAATTCTATCTGGAAAAGGGCAGCGGTTGTGGTAATTCCAGACGAGTAATGTGCCGTGGAGCATGCAAAGTAAGAATTGATGCAGATGAGCAGTTGAGTCACCCACTGCATTATGACTTCTGTTTGAGCCATTTTGATCATATCTGGTCACTAAATCAATAAACTCAGGTCCAGAACCTGGGTAGTGGCTTACCTTCTGGATAGCGTGTACTTAGGAAGTACAATATATAGGTGGGTGGGGATATCATATCTGTGTTAATCTTTGTCTTTTAACAAACAAATTTAATCATGAATTAAAGAATCTTCTTGGTCCTCTTTTTCTTCACTTCCTCTGTTGCCACTTTGGGTTTCAATAGAAATATGAGATTCTGCTTCTTGCTGTTTTGGCTGCCCTGAACATAGATAACGCGTGTTTGTTGTAGAGTTTCTCTGATGTTATCTTTAAATATCATTCTTGGTCTACCTCATGCTGTGCGTCCTTCTCCTGTTTTGATGTGCAATGACCCTGTTTACATACAGTCTCTGGCTCTAGTCATCTGCAGACTTCTCAAACGTACACTCACTAAAATAATGCAACTCAAAACGTTGATCGCTGACAATATTTGTATTCATGAAACCACCGCTGACTTGTTGGCCAGTGCACATAGAGGACAACATATCTAGGGTAAAACAGTTCATCCACTTGACACAGCATCTCTCGAACGACTCTTACAAACATTATCTTTAATTATACGATGTCAAGAAAATCCATGCAGACGCTTTGACAATCACAAACCACCCAGACTGACAGCAGCCGATGACATCCAAGTTTGACAGGAAGTCAGCTCGACAGGAATAGCCAGGGTTCCAGGAAAACTCATCATCAAACTTGAGTGCGGGCGCTCACTAACACCTAGATTCTTTCAGCATTCATTCAGTCAGCCACAACCAAGACGAACAAGACTGAAACCCAGACTGATCCTTCTAGTCTTGGTAATCTTAGTTTCAGCTTCATAGCAAACGAGTCACCCCATAGTAGCTCCGCTCCTGTGCCAACGAAAAACACTCAAAATGTTTGACGCAGTCCCTTGTGGAAAGATTGACAGACTGCTGTCTCAGCATATGCACTAGCATACACACGCATTAAAAGCATACGGTAGCCATCAGAAGTGCTAACAGTTTGACATTAGAAATGCAGTTCATCATCGGCGGTAGCAGAAGTCGCCAACAGATCAGCAGCTGCGCACGCGATCAATATTAATCACATGAGGGCACCACCAATATTGCGGCGACAGGCCATGCGCCATTTTCTGAATCTACAGTTCACAACACCACGTTGGTCACAGTCAAAAAACCAAATGAAATCTGCAGCTCACTGAGTCGCGCCATGCACTCAACTCAGTAGCTGGTGCGACGAAACTGTATCCTTTCAAATGGATCAAAAATGCAACGGCCACCATCTGGCAGAAGCAAAAAATTTCCCTTGACACGAAACAGTAACCGCGCCTGGCGTCTATTTTGATCCTTCTAGATTGTACCAGTTCTCACACTCTCTCATTTGTCACGGGCTAGGCAATTTTCCCGTTTAGTCAGCATTTTCCGTGCACCATGATTCATCCTTGATAAACTCAAATAAATACTTCATGTTGAGTATCTGACCTCATTACTTCTGCAAACATAAACTATTGAGGAGAAAAGGATTCACTACATAATGAATGCCTCGTATAATTTGGTATCACAAGGCATTCTCTCTGCTTGGGCAGACAATATGACTTGTTGTCTTTGTATGTAATTTATAATTGTTACTATGTTGACTGTTCTCTTATGACCTCATTCCTGATTTTATCTCTTCTGATTACTCAATAATCTTTTGAAATAATATGTGCTTGTTCACAGGAAACTGAAGACATGAAGGCAAGGAAAAAGAGAAAAGCAGCAGAAATGAGAATAGAGTCTGAAATTTATGGAGGTCTTAGCAAACTTGATTTCACTGAATTTGTTTCTTCTGCCACGTGAGTTGTGATAGTGATTCTTGTTTGGGCACAAGTTTCATTGGCTCTTGTGCTGTTGTCTGTTATACTGCTGAGATAACATAGGCTCTGCATTTGTCTGTTTTTTATGCTGTCATAACAGAGATCTGATTTTTTCTGTTCTTATGTTGTCATAACATAGACTAGACTTCCTCTTCTTGTGTTGACTAAACAGAGACCTGACTATCTGTTCTTGTGTTGACTAAACAGAGACCTGACTGTCTGTTCTTGTGTTGACTCAACAAGACCTGAATATCTGTTTTGGTGTTGATTCAACAAGACCTGACTATCTGTTCTTGTGCTGACTCAACAAGACCTGAATATCTGTTTTTTGTGTTGACTCAACAAGACCCGAATATCTGTTTTTGTGCTGACTTAACAAGACCTGAATATATGTTCTTGTGTTGACTCAACAAGACCTTAATATCTGTTTTTGTGCTGACTCAACAAGACCTGACTGTTTTTATGCTGACGAAACAAGTCCTGAATATATGTTCTTGTGTTGACTCAACAAGACCTAAATATCTGTTTTTGTGCTGACTCAACAAGACCTGAATATTTGTTCTTGTGTTGACTCAACAAGACCTGAATATCTGTTCTTGTGCCGACTTCACAGAGACCTGATTTTCTGTTCTTGTGCTGACTCAACAGAGACTTGACTTTCTGTTCTTTTGTTGACTCAACAAAGACCTTACTTTCTGTTCTTGTGCTGACTCAACAGAGACCTTACTTTCTGTTCTTGTGCTGACTCAACAGAGACTTGACTTTCTGTTCTTTTGTTGACTCAACAAAGACCTTACTGTCTGTTCTTGTGCTGACTCAACAGAGACGACTTTCTGTTCTTTTGTTGACTCAACAAAGACCTTACTTTCTGTTCTTGTGCTGACTCAACAGAGACTTGACTTTCTGTTCTTTTGTTGACTCAACAAAGACCTTACTTTCTGTTCTTGTGCTGACTCAGCAGAGACCTGACTGTCTGTTTTTATGATGTCTTAACAGAGACCTGACTGTCTGTTTTTATGCTGACTTAACAGAGACCTGATTGTCTGTTTTTATGCTGACTCAACAGAGACCTGATTGTCTGTTTTTATGCTGACTCAACAGAGACCTGATTGTCTGTTTTTGTGCTGACCTAACAGAGACCTGATTGTCTGTTTTTATGATGTCTTAACAGAGACCTGACTGTCTGTTTTTATGCTGACTCAACAGAGACCTGATTGTCTGTTTTTGTGCTGACTTAACAGAGACCTGACTGTCTGTTTTTATGATGTCTTAACAGAGACCTGACTATCTGTTTTTATGCTGACTTAACAGAGACCTGATTGTCTGTTTTTGTGCTGACTCAACAGAGACCGGATTGTCCATTTTTGTGCTGACTCAACAGAGACCTGATTGTTCATTTTTGTGCTGACTCAACAGAGACCTGATTGTCTGTTTTTGTGCTGACTTAGCAGAGACCCGATTGTCCATTTTTGTGCTGACTTAGCAGCATGTTTACTCTAGTACTCTTAGAAATGCTTATTCCCCATTAGATGATTTATGTCCTCTGGTCTCATTTGTTCCCCCTTAGGGAGAATGAACTGGAAGCTGTTCTGATGGCCTTTGCCAAATCCAACAAATCGTCTGCAGTTTTTCTGGGAGGAGACTCAGATGTAGAAACTGACACAAAGCTAGAGGTCAAGGACAGGCAGCAGAATAGTTGTCATAGTCACCAGACTCTCAGTCATGACCTGGTGACCTTTGGTGCCATGGGTGATTCTGCAGAAGTAAAAGAAGGTGAGCTCTATGATGGGGTGTGTGGATGGGGTACACTGGTGACCTTTAGTGCCATGGGTGATTCTGCAGAAGTAAAAGAAGGTGAGCTCTATAATGTGGTGTCTGGTTGGGGTACACTGGTGACCTTTAGTGCCTGTCACAGACCTCGGGGTGACCTTGATGGTCTGTGGCTCATAACTGGGCCTATGACAGACAAACTAACCTTCAACACACACTGAACCCGAACGCACACAGAGCACACACGACAATCTTTATTGCAAGTACAGGTAATACAATAGACAGTTAACTTCCCGCTGTGTGGCCACCTATTGCCTGGACCCTCTGGCCGAACGAGCTTTACAATCGCCTCGCTCCCCAGTACGTTCCACAGGCAATCTCCTGGTGCACAAACCACACTGGCACAAGATACACTCTTACCTATCAACACACTGACCAACCAAAATGTCACAGCCTCTGTCTAGTGCAGGGTCAGAGTGCTAAGGTTAGACATTCTCTCACAGAACATGTACCTAAACGATTTAACTGGTCAGGAGTAACTGGACACTAGTTACTTATGGTGGCACAACACAATTCCTTGTACCAGTTAAATACACAGCAAAAAAGACTATCCTATTCTAACAGAACACTGTAAATACTCTATGCAGTCACTAAAGAAATATCCTAACTCTAATATACTATCACTGTCTCGCTAACACGTCTGCTCGGTCCGAACGCTGTACACTCAATCCCCCCTGTTCTTTCACCTCATGTCTTTTGACCCATTCACCTGCCCCTGGGGTAATCGTGTTGCGAACTTGTTTGCAACAGAGCTCACTCTTTCCCGTCATCCTCACTGAGCGACAGTTTCACCGTGAACAGCACAGAATAGGCCAGTCACAGCATTGACCTTTGTGTCAACCCTTGGGTTTAGATACACCCTACGGTGTGGTCCATTCCGTCACTGACTGTACTCACAGGGTTGTGACAGTGCTACGGGTGATTCTGCAGAAGTAAAAAAAAAAGGTGAGCTCTATGATGGGGTGTGTGGATGGGGTACACTGGTGACCTTTGGTGCCACGGGTGATTCTGCAGAAGTAAAAGAAGGTGAGCTCTGGGATGTGGTGTGTCGATGGAGTACACTGGTGACATTCCTGCAAGCCTCTGTGAATGTCTGGGATTTAATTCTCAAACTCCTGCTGTGGTTTCTGAGGAGCAAGACTGTATCTCGACAGTAGAACCAGAACTCTAAAATTGTGCTATTATTTCATAAAAAAATGTTCTCAAGTACTTTTTCTCCTGTCTACAGTGTCTTGAACCCTCTCTCTCTTTATCTCTCACTCTCCCCATCTCTAGAGTGAGAAGGAGGAGAGAGAAAGAGGCGGGGAGGGAAAGAGAGGAAGGAAGCACAACCTTTAGCATAGATATGAAGTATTCAGTTAAAAAAAAAAAATGTTAATTGGTTTAGTAATACAGTTCTTGTCAGCGTCTGTGGCTTAGACATTGCGAATGTGCTTCATAATGCCGGGATGTTGGGTTTGATCCCAGCTGCAGGCCTTGCGCCTTGTGTTGTTTTCGACAGTGGCATCGAGAAGTCGACTGTCTAAATATACTGAATATATCGGTAAAGTTATTTTGTTTCATGTTTTAAAAATAATAATAAATATAACAGTGTTTTCAATATTTAATAAAATATCAAAGCTGCTCTTTCTGGTGTTAAAAATATTTATTTTCTCATTTTGAGCTTCAAACAATAGGAGTTGTCTCCTACATGGAGGCGTCTGATATAGGGAAAGGTACTTTAGTTCATGCCAAGTCCTTCGTAGACTTTATCGTTTGGATCTGCTACAACAGTTTTCTATGGGATGTGTTTGCCATTTTCAAGGCAGCCTTTCTTAATGGCTGGACCTTGATGCGACGTGGGTGTTGATCTCCCAGCTTTACTGATGGGGGTAAAGTAATCCTTCTGACAGGGGTTGAAACCAGGCCAGAGCACTAACTAATGTCCCATCGCAGCCTCTTTTTGGTTACAATATATTACCAGGACCCCCGTCCCTGAACAAAATGTCAGAATTATCCTGGCCTCCCAAAAATAGTAATCATCCCCAGTTTTTTACCAATTGGATTAAGTCTCCTAAATATCAGAATCTAAGAATTGATTTACATTATCAAAAGTCTAAGCCATTGTCTTGTTACGTGTGATTCAATTGTTAAATATTCATATACAGTAAAACCTTGTTAACACAAACTTGCTTAAGAAGAATATTCATCTAACATGAATAAAATGTTGGGCTCAGCAGGGACACAAACAGGATTGTTAATCCTTCACAAAGCATAACTTTTTTTTTAAACTGAACTAATGATTTTTCACTCCCCTGGATCTTGTGTTATAGTGCGTTTTCTAATTTCTCTGTAATTATCTTATCATGGAAACGTGAAATTTTGTGTGTGTGTGCCTGCGTTCCTATTTTTATCTGGACATTAATGTTTCATACATAAATCAATTTTATTGAAACAGTCACTTTTTTGTTTGTTATTTTTCTCGTTTATATAATTTAAGTTAGGTGAGAAAACAGACTTAACAGAACCAACAGGAATAGAAGTACTGAAGTATGGTCAAAGCTAGAGGCGTTTCTACAATTATTTATCATGGGGGCATAAGTCCCCGCATGTCTTACAGTTTTCCATATTGTACTTTTGGATGCTTCAATGCCACGGTTCTGTCTAAGTTTGAGTTGTAATAGCTTCAGCATCGGTAATTATTTGTCCAGCATTTTGTATACTGCTGGTTTAATAACTTCTTTGTCAAAGCTGTCAGTTTTCTTTTTTTCCTTCTCATTCACATTGGTATATGTAGAAAATGTAGAAAGATTTGATTTTTCTGTAACCTATCTTGAAAAAGTCCGGTGGGTTATACTTAGGGCATGTTTTGTTTAAATAAATTGGCACTGACAAATGACAAATATTTGTATAGTTGCATTGTTTATATTTTTAATTGCATTAAATTTAACTTTCAAGCTTATTTAAGAAAAGATATTTTTATGAACATTTGCAGGAGAAGGTTTGCAGACAAAGTTGACATCGAAAGTTGTGTACCAGCATATCTGGGCTCAGCACCGCCATCATTCTGAATACTTGTGCTCCGGAACTGCAGCCATCTACACTCAGAAACTGGGGCGGCCACACTCAGCTTCTACTGGTGGAACGTCTCGTGCAGGTACCAGCAATCAAGCAATGGCAGGTTGTCCCCCTTTAGGATTGCAGGTTGTTCCCCTTTAGGATTGCAGGTTGTTCCCCTTTAGGATTGCAGGTTGTTTCCCTTTAGGATTGTAGTCCACAGGATTCAATGATAAAAATCATACGTGTACAAATTCTGGTGAGCCCCGTTCAACCGTAAGTTTATACTGGAGTCCAGAACAGTTACAAAGTAACCTGAAGTGCAGACTTTGCAGGGATGACAGGAAGTGAGAGGTAAGAAAGGAATACTCATGAAGTCCTGTTTAACCTCACAAATGACACAGGAGGTTAAACAAATACTGACTGGGGTCAAGTTTAGTTCTGGGTGATGACTGAAAATGCTGTATGAAAGTGTAGTCAAGAGTTTTGTCCTTTCAGTCCCAGAAATCCTCGGTTGAAGCCAGTAAAGGACAGCCATATCACAAGAGTATTAACTTTGGCCGAGTGTAACCCAGATATGTGGCTACATTTCTTTAGACTATTGTGACCAAATGTAAGAAGTATAATCACACCTGACACATAGACACACTCCTCACATATGACACATAGACACACTCCTCACATATGACACATAGACACACTCCTCACATATGACACATAGACACACTCATCACATATGACACATAGACACACTCATCACATATGACACATAGACACACTCATCACACCTGACACATAGACACACTCATCACATATGACACATAGACACACTCATCACATATGACACATAGACACACTCCTCACATATGACACATAGACACACTCATCACATATGACACATAGACACACTCCTCACACCTGACACATAGACACACTCCTCACACATGACACATAGACACACTCCTCACACATGACACATAGACACACTCCTCACATATGACACATAGACACACTCATCACATATGACACATAGACACACTCCTCACATATGACACATAGACACACTCCTCACATATGACACATAGACACACTCCTCACATATGACACATAGACACACTCCTCACATATGACACATAGACACACTCATCACATATGACACATAGACACACTCATCACATATGACACATAGACACACTCCTCACATATGACACATAGACACACTCATCACATATGACACATAGACACACTCATCACATATGACACATAGACACACTCCTCACATATGACACATAGACACACTCCTCACATATGACACATAGACACACTCATCACATATGACACATAGACACACTCATCACACCTGACACATAGACACACTCATCACATATGACACATAGACACACTCATCACACCTGACACATAGACACACTCATCACACCTGACACATAGACACACTCATCACATATGACACATAGACACACTCATCACATATGACACATAGACACACTCCTCACATATGACACATAGACACACTCCTCACATATGACACATAGACACACTCATCACACATGACACATAGACACACTCATCACACCTGACACATAGACACACTCATCACATATGACACATAGACACATTCATCACATATGACACATAGACACACTCATCACATATGACACATAGACACACTCATCACATATGACACATAGACACACTCCTCACACATGACACATAGACACACTCCTCACACATGACACATAGACACACTCATCACATATGACACATAGACACACTCATCACACCTGACACATAGACACACTCATCACATATGACACATAGACACACTCATCACATATGACACATAGACACACTCATCACATATGACACATAGACACACTCATCACATA